ACATCAGAGCACATGGATAGTGCTTGGAGAGTTGGTGATGATGCAAATGAGTCATAAATTCAGGAGTAAGTCCTTGATTAGGTATGAGGGGGAATATAGGAGAGAAGCTGGCCTCTCAGGAGGAGAACATATAATATGGGCCCTAAGGAAGGTGGATTTCTAGATTTGGTGAGTGGAAGCTGAGTGGTATCTCTCTTTAACTTCTAAACCTCAACGAAATATGAAGCCTACTTATCTGCATGGGGAAGGGTGGGCTGCTCATGAGTTTAAAGAGTGGGAAGAAATTATTAAATAGTTGTAGGCAAAAATATTAGGAATCTGATTGCTTTCCTGGGCAGTGCTGAGAGTCCACTTCAGATTTCTGGTCACGAATCTGAAGTCTCTAATAGTCAACCACTTATGTGCACTCATGAAAAACCAGATGAGAGATAAAACAGCTATAAATAGAAAAAAAAAAATCCTGGCTAAATTAAAAAAAAAAAATGTATCCAAGAGCATATGTATCCATGCCACAGTCACTAACAATGTCCAATCAAGCTGTGGTCTGCACAGTTCCATTTGTCTCCACCTCACAACAGAAATTCTTGTAAATAATGTATTTGTCATATTTAGTCATGACATATTTAATCATGAAGCTTAAAGATTATTTCTTTTTGGTCATGAATGTTTCTGCTACTTCCTAAGGGAGATTTTTTTAAATGAACCGGATATTCTTCTTGTACATCTGAGGTGACTGCATTTCATTGCTTAAAGAAACTTTCTAGGTGGTAACTGAGATCCTAAAGCAGAAGATCCTAAAATCTTCCAGAGTGGGACAAAAATAAGAATGGGGATTAGACTTGGATTGGACTTCTTAACAGCAACACCAGAAGCTAATGGAACAATGACTTCAAAAGAGGGACACTAATTTTCAGTCTAGAATTCAATATTCAGCTAAACCACTATTCAAGTGAAGGTTAAATGAAGACATTTCCAGATATGCAACTTCTGAATTCAGGAAGAATTTCAGTTTGTATGTTCTTTGTCTCTGGAAGGTACAACAGAATAAGGAAGCCATAGGATTCAGGAAATAAAGAATCCAACACAGGAGTAAGGCAAAAAGAATTCCCAAGATGATGACGAAGGGAAGTCCTGGATGACAGATATGAAAAATAAATGAAACATATTACCTGAAAATATTGAAAGATTATCAGTTCTGTCAGAATTTGAGGATGAGTCAGTGACTAAGAAAACAAATCAAGTGAAAAACAAGAGAGGAAATTAATTTAGAGAAACAAAAGTACAATATAGAAAATGTAATACTAGTACGCTACATGGCTCATCTGTGAATAACAGGTACATAGTCACAGTCATATAAATACTGAGTACTGACTTGACTGGGAACTGTAGTTATGAAGGACAACCAAGTCCTCAACTTCCAAAGTAGAAGTCCATAGATGATGTCCAAAGATGGAAAATCAATAAATAAGTTTAAACATCAAGAATGAAGTAAATATAAAGGAAAATACTAGAAGGAACTGTTGAGAGTTGAAAGCAGTTCAACATTCTAAAACTGCTGATTTTTCACTACTCCCCAATCTAAAAAATGGCAATTTCATATAAGTTAATATATTATAACATTACTTTATTACTTACTTCATTTTATTTTATTTTTTTAAAGATTTTATTTATTTATTTGACAGAGAGAGATCACAAGTAGGCAGAGAGGCAGGCAGAGAGAGAGGAAGGGAAGCAGGCTCCCTGCTGAGCAGAGAGCCTGATGTGGGGCTCGATCCCAGGACCCTGAGATCATGACCTGAGCAAAAGGCAGAGGCTTAACCCACTGAGCCACCCAGGTGCCCTATTTTTAAAAAGACTTTATTTATTTATTTTTGCATGCATGCACACTGACAGAGCAAGCAAGCCAGCACAAGCAGGGGATAGGAGCAGAGGGAGAAGCAGACTCCCTGCTGAGCAGGGAGCTCAATAAGGGACTCGACTCCCAGAACCCTGGGAACATGACCTGGGCCAAAGGCAGATGCTCAACCGACGGAGCCACCCAGGTGCCCTATTAATTGATTTTAGAATAAGCTGCCATTTGAACAGAAAACCATTACTGATAGAAAATGCTCTAAGGAAAAAAAGCTCTACTTTTTGTTATCAGACATTGTTGGGGGAATAAAATATTGCAGTTTGGGGTAACAAAGAGTTACCATACATGCTATCACCATCACTGACGTAACAGTATTAGTATTGCTAATATAAAGAATATATTTACTACTAAAACAGCACTTAGAATAATTTAATCTATTTTCATGATAGAGAAATTACTTCAGAATTTTTCTTCAAACATCATACTACAGAAATGCTGAAGTATGGGTTGGTGAAGAATTTTATTAACAGAATGCTGAATAAAAAGTTCAGGATGTTTTTAAGTTCCTTTCTTGATACAAACAATAGTTAAGTCACTCTTGCAAAATGAAGTTCCACAATACTGTGGTACTATGCAAGCCTGTTTCAGTGATAATTCCGGTTATACTACTCTGTTTATCTAAGACTTCCCCTTATGGTTTAAGGGAATTCCCCCCAAAAAAAAAAAAAATCTCACGCAGGCAGTTATAAATTATTGGGGTTGCTTCAGTATTACACTAGTTTATGAAGCCCTTGTTTTTAAGTTAACTTATTTTGAGTTAAGTTCACTGACATTAAAATTTTATTTAAATTCTTCATCATAAAACCAAAAGTTCTCCAAATTGAAAAATCAACCTTTACTAATTTTAACTTCTAAAAAAGAATTTGACCATGCTAACATAAGTTAAGACTTTTACCAAGAATAATACATTCCTATCCAACCAATGGCAAATTTCCCCTTCAAATTAAAAGCAAATGTTTTTAATAGCGGGGATATTCATAAACAGATGCTATGGAAGACTGCTTAGTTTGGATTTCATTTTGCACTAAAAACTAACAGGCATTAAAATACACATGATTAAAGAATAATCTTAAAGAGAATCTTAAAACTTAACCAATTCATTATTCAGGTCACCCAATAAGATCCTCTTAATTTTTTTACCACCACTATTTCAACCAAAAGATCATAATAAAAATCTATTTTGGGGAAAAAAAAATCTATTTTGGGGGCACCTGGGTAGCTCAGTCAGTTAAGCAACTGCCTTCAGCTCAGGGCATGATCCCAGAGTTACGGGATCGAGTCCCACATCTGGCTCTCAGCTCCAAGGGGAGTCTGCTTCTCCCCCGACCTTCTTCCCTCTCATGCTCTCTCTCACTGTCTCTCTCTCAAATAAATAAATAAATAAATAAATAAATAAAATCTTTTTAAAAAATTCTATTTTGGAAATGTGTTTCTTACATACAAGTTTAGCTAATTTCCTATCACTCTGCAAAATTATAAGGGTAAAAAAGAAACTGAAAATGCAACCAACATTTTAAAACTTATAAAATCTGGTATAAAAAGAAAAAGGTCCAAATGAAAGATCAAAGAATAAATGGTACTACTACAAATGTCTCCTTTTAATTGGTCTGCATCAACTGTAACTCTTCCTAACTTTACCAAAACAAAGTCAGGCAGTCCAACCCATGGAACCAAAGTCTGTGGGAACCTGCAGAACTTCCTTCTCTCTCTGGGGATGAGGACAAGGATAAAAGGTGTTCTGTTTTCCAGTAGTCCTGTAAGAGGAGCCATTGAGCTGGGCCACACAACCAGACAACAGAGCGCAGGAAAATTCAGATCAAAGCAAGGACGCATGCCAGGGTAATATGCAATAAAACCCTTTGCCAAAGCACTCAGAAGAAAAAAGCAAGGAGGAGAGAACCTGCTGGACCACCTTCTTAACACAGGGAGACAGGGAAAAACAAAATCTGCTTCTACTGAGGAGCTGAGAAGATAGTGTCCTGGATATATTGGAGTATTTCTGTAGACATGTATATGAGTAAATAGATAACCAATGAACTAAACCCAGAAGGCAGTGTCCTGTATGTTCTGGAGTATGTACATGTACGTATGTATTTATGTATGTATATATATCCATTACCTAAACCCAAAAAGCAAAGTGTTCCAGGTATATAGATATATGAGAATATTAATTTTCAACGAATATTATAAAAACATTCATTTTCAATGAACAAAACGCACTGGTTTTACAGTAAGAAACATACAATATATATTGTTTGAAAGAATACCAGAGACAGAATTGCGTGAAGGTCTAATGAAGCAATAATCTTTTTCTTCATATCCTTTTTTATCTCTGATTCTCTCATTTCGTAGGGGACACCCATTTCGTAGGGAACACCGAGGACGGGGAGACACACACACACACACACACACACACTCAGGCACACACAAAATTTTGTCTCCGGAAACAAAGAAGGGTCCTTAATTCTCCGGCCTGTGGAAGCACAGGCCGCCCCCCCCCCACAGATAAGGGCCACCACCTGACTTTAATTAATGAGTACACTGAGGCGACAGGTTTCACCCCAGCCCACAGTCATGCCCCCAGTGACAAACGGGCACGAGACAAACGCCACAAAGAAAGGGGAGGGGCAGGTGGGGACCAGGAAAACACCGCCACGCCGCGCCCCCCAAGGCGCGTTCCCATCGCCAGCGCGGAGGCAGCCGTCCTCGCCATCCTCGTCCTCGCCCCCGCGCTCATCCAAGCCGCCTCCCCAGCCCGCGGACCGACTCCGGGCACCGGCTAGCGGGGCGTGCGGGGCGCCGCGAACCTTCCCTCTGTGACCTCCCGGTGACAGCCTCGCGCCGCCCTTTGTGCGGGACTCAGCCTCCGGCCCCTGTGGACTCCCCCGCCCCGCGTCCCTCCCGGCCTGGGCCGCTGTCCCACCCCTCCCCGTCCCCGCCGAAACGCCCGGGAGTGTGAATAGGGGAGGCTGGCGCGGGCCCGCGGTCTCTTCAGCATCCCGAGCCCGGAGCCGCCAGGTCCCATAAACCCCAGCCCCGGGGCGACAGCCCCCAGCCTCCGGTGCCCTGCCCTCGGTCCCTCACTTACTCGGGCGCGCCGGCTACGGCGGCGGGTGTGTGGGACCGTCAGCGCCGGGAGGCAGGAGGAAGGCTGAGGGCGGCGAGCGTCCGTCCGGACCCAGCGCGGCTGAGGTGGCGACGGCCAACTGCGCGCTGCGGCCCCCGACAAGGGGCGGGCCCGGCGGGGGAGGGGCGGGCGCCGCGCCTCTCATTCATGCAGCGGGGGCGGGGTGAGGGACCCGGATGCCCGGGCAGCTCCCGCCCACCTCGCTGAGGGCGCCTTGGCTTCAGAGTCTACAGTGCGCAGGCGCGGGACTTGGTGCTCTGGCCCCGTTCCGCCCCGCCCCCTGGGGGGGGTCGTACAATTCCACGGGCTGTTGCAGCGTGTAGACCGATTCCCTCATCTGTTTAGAATTTTTGCATGTTCTGTAATCATTTTTTAAGGTGAAAGCTTGGGACACTACCTCCTTCCTAGCACCCAGCCTCCCAATCTCGGAGGGCACAGGAATGCCCATTAGTTTGATGGGAAGACGTACGCACCGCTCCTTTCCTCCGTTTGTCTTTTCTTCAGCAGATCCTCTCCACTGAATGCTGGGACCACTGTGGTAGATGAGATCTAGAATCGGCTGAGGTAGTGGAGAAAAGCATGTGCAGGAAAGAGTGCATTACATTGTTTATTTGCATTGACCCTGTCCCCTCAGTCCCTAGCTGTCATTGCACAGAGTAGGCAAGAAATTGACCATGGTTTTGAAGAAGGACCAGACATTTCTGTAAAATCAAGGCTTAGGATGTTGTAGCTCCAAGTATCTGTGGAGGCCTCTCTTCTTTGGTAGGCAGTGTATTCTTTGGAGACACCCTCCTGTTCTTAGCCCCTTGGCTCTGCCACTCCTGGGCCACAGAAATCTTTGGGGATGCTGGGAGACTGCAGGAGACCTCACAGCCTTCCCCTCTGAGGTCCCTCGGCTGAGTGTGAGGGTACAGCTCAGTCCCAGGTTCCCTTCTGAGGTTCTCCTTCCTTTTCCTATCTTCCAGGCTTCCCTTACATAAACCACAAGCAACTCAGTGGTTTAACTTTGGGAAGCAAAAGTCATCATGGAAAGTGCCTATAGACAAATGCTTTCTGCTTTGCAAAAAATAAACTTCCAAGGGAAGGGGAAAGAAAGACAAAAACATCAGTGAACATCTCAAGAAGTCACCTAGTAGTTCTAGTCCCCCATCGTGAGAGATGGTTGGAAGCATGTGTTCTATAGAGTGTGACAAAAGGATGGTGGAGACCCATTCTTCCTCTAATGCTGCCTATCAACACCTACCCCCTGCCCTTCAGGCCAAGAACCTCAGGGGCCCTTTTCTTCTCTCACTGCTAGCTCTCAATGGGAGTTGTTACCAGAAGGACCTTCCCAACTCTGATTTGCTGGTACCTGTCACTCTGTCTAAACTAGGATTACTCTCTCTCCTGGCCTGTTGATTCCCATGTGAATCAATTCTCAGGATATGCAGATCTGCCCATGTCACAGTCTTTTTCTAAAGTGGCCCACTTGACCCTTTTTTTTCCAGTCATTTCCAGCACAGCACCACAATGTTTAACCCTCAGTGCCTATGTTCTTGTTGTTCTCCTTACTAGGAAAGCAAAACTTATCTAGGAACACTCAAGAGTCTCCGTTTTATGAAGTTGTCCTATCTTTCCCCACCTTGTTGACAGACTTTCTTTTGGAATCCTCCTGGGTCCTGTACCCAAGTCTCTCTCAACTCCAGATGTACTTAGGATTCATATCCATTTGCTAGTATTTTCCTGAACTACCAGAATGTGAGCCCTTCAACAATGGGAGCATTGTCTCCTCAAGACCTAGCAGGTGATTGGCAAAACAATTAGGAAGCAATGGTTGCTGGGAGAGGTGATATTCCCTGATGGGCCAGGGAGGTTCCACAGGGGTGAGAAAAGCTGAACTCACTTTTCTTTCTCCTCCCTTCTTGTGGCTTCCTTTACCCTCCGTGTGTTAGGAAATCTATTTTATTTGTTTGTTTAAAAAGCTTAGCTAGAAATTCTTTAGTCCAAGCTGGTTGTAGGGTAGAGGGTGGCTTTAGTAGGTAGTAGAGGTAGTAGAGTGGCTTTAGTTTCCATGTCCTTTGTCCTTGTGAAACTCAGGAGAGAGAGAGTAGTAGACTGTTCCTTGTTCCTCTTGGGAGAGAAGTCAGATTTTTTGGTCTCCTGGTATCTCCAGCTGGATTTCACAAGCTGATCCACGATCCTATCTGTCTAGTGATACAGAAGGTTCTACTTCCCTCTCACTGTATCCAACTGCTCCCAGCTAGGCAAAATGCATGTGGGGGTAGAATGTGGATGTATTCAGAGAGATCTAGGCAGCTTAGGTGAGTACCCCAAACAGCAGGCATCCAGGACTTGAAGTAGTGGCTTTCTTTCTCTTTCTCTTCCTTTCCTTTCCTTTCCTTTCCTTTCCTTTCCTTTCCTTTCCTTTTCTTTCTTTCTTTCTTTCTTTCTTTCTTTCTTTCTTTCTTTCTTTCTTTCTAATTTTATTTATTTATTTGAGAGGGAGAGAGAGCATGAGAGGAGAGAGGTCAGAGGGAGAAGCAGACCCTGCTAAGCAGGGAGCTCGATGCCAGACTCGATCCCGGAACTCCAGGATCATGACCTGAGCTGAATGCATTTGCTCAACCAATGGAGCCATCCAGGTGCCCCAAGTAGTGGCTTTCTCAGCTAATATGGGCTCTTGTTGCTTGTGATGGAGGAGTGGGAAAGGCTTCACTGCTTAGGTCTTCAGACGATGTCCCTCTTTCTATTTCCTCTCCCCTTAGCCCTCTCTATCCTCTTCCTACATTATACTTCTTTTAAAGCATTTTCCACACTCCAACCCATTACTCAGAAAACCGTCCTTACCTGCATGGCCAGAAGTCTTTCAAGACTCCTCTACCTTCTGGAAAATAAATGACATGTAATTTTAAATCAAATGTTAGTGACCAATTTTGGAACAGCAACTTTCTGGATGGTAACTGTAGTGGGAGCAAGGGTTGCTTTTTGTCATCTTAGGTCTGGTGCTCAATACAAGTTTATTGAATGACTGTGTGAACAAATAAAGGCAAAATCGGTGTTTCAAAGAGAAGCTAGAACTCAGAGGTTGTCCTCGGCCAAACCACTCTGTCCATCCTCTCCTCCTAGTGAGAACTATCCATCTGTTAAGTGGTGGTCTTTATCCCAGAAAAACATCCTCATATTGGCCAATGATTTGGCTGCTTAGTTATCTAGATCTCTGGATGGCCTTTTCAAGTGTTGACCAGTCAGTGCTTTGATTCTTTGGACTGGTCAGCAGAGGAGTCTCACCATTTTTGTGAGAGCCAGAGGTGTGCTTCTGTGTTCCCTGAACTCCTTCATTTGAGAATTCCAGTCTCCTGCTGGGCCTCCTCCTACAAGAAGTGTCCTGATAGCACATGTGGACCTCTAGATAGGGTGTGACCCTGCTCAAAGAGTCCTCAATAGCTCCTTGATGCAGGATGTGTGTACACAACTGTGAAACAGTGCAAGTGTGGGAGGAAGTGTAGGTTTCTATGTGCATGGTAGCTTTGGGTAAGACTGTGTCCACCCTCAGAAACAGAAGTCAGGGATTCTTTCCTCAGCCACCAACAATCCACGCTGCCTTTCTGGCACCCGCAAGCCAAATGACCCAAACAGAACTCAGAGCCCTGAAAATATAAATGTGCTCAGGATCCCATGTGAGAATTAGCTGAGACCAGCTGCAGATGGAGGGATTGGGGGCACAATTTCCCAGGGGTGGTACAGCCCACTCAGGCTATTGCATTGGAGTATACCTGTCTTCATGTGGGTTCTCCCAGAAAGTTCAAGACAAGGGCTGGAATGCAGATAATTTACTTAGGAGGTAATCTCAGGAAACAGGAGTGAAGAAATGGGAAAACAAGATAGAGGAGAGATAAAAGCCAATACTAAGGTGTGTTGAGCCAGTTACTGCCATGGGAAACTCAGAGAAACCTGGTGGAAGAGTCTCAACACTGTCCTCCCAAATGTTAAGGAGGCTGGGGTATTTACCTACTGACTTCCATCTCCCTGTTGCTTCTAGATGACCATCCATGAACTTACAAGTTATGGCTGTGCAGCAAGGCAAGCTACCTAGCTCAGCTCTTCCTCCCTCTACCAATACTGCAACTATTAGAAGCCCCCCACCAACACACACACACACAATTCCTGCCCCTGTTGAGTTCTTTCACCCAATTGTGTCACTACCTTTTCTTTTTGTTCTTAGGTCTAAGCTTGTAAGAGGAAGTGAAGTGGGGTGATATCTTTGCCCACAAACCATTCTAAGAAAAAGGAAGTATAGTGGCTCTTCCCCCATTTGAACCTATCCAATCTCCCCTAATAGCTCTCCACCATCATCACCTCATCCCAAAGCAAGGCACAGAAAAGAGAAAGAGAGAGAGCAAGAAAGCAGACAAGCTTTCTGAAATGACTTCTGGCACCACAGAGTCACAGAACCAGAGCTAGAAGGAATGAACTCTCTCAGAAAGATGAGCCTCCATCCTGAGAGGAAAGTATATAGCCATATAAGCCTTTCTCAAGAAACAATAAAAGTCTCAAGTACACAACCTAACCCTACACCTAAAGGAGCTAGAGAAAGAACAGCAAAGAAAGCCTAAACCCAGCAGGAGAAGAGAAATTAAGATCAGAGCAGAAATCAATAAAATAGAAACCCAAAAGAACAGTAGAACAAATCAATGAAACTAGGAGCTGGTTCTTTGAAAGAACTAATAAGATTGAAAAACCCCTGGCCAGACCTATCAAAAAGAAAAGAGAAAGGACCCAAATTAATAAAATCATGAAAGAAAGAGGAGAGATCATAACCAACACCAAAGAAATACAAACAACTATAAGAACATATTATGAGCAACTATACGCCAGCAAATTTGACAATCTGGAAGAAATGGATGCATTCCTAGAGACATATAAACTACCAAAACTGAACCAGGAAGAAACAGAAAACCTGAACAGACCCATAACCAGTAAGAAGATTGAAGCAGTCATCAAAAATCTCCCAAAAAACAAGAGCCCAGGGCCAGACAGCTTCCCAGGGGAATTCCACCAAACTTTTAAAGAAGAATTAATTAACCTATTCTGAAACTGTTCCCAAAAATAGAAATGGAAGGAAAACTTTCAAACTCCTTTTATGAGGCCAGCATTACCTTGAT